TAAGCCATCATTTTTCTTTGGAAAAAGGATAAAGGAAAAATGGAGGCCTTAAAGAATTCACTAGTGGGGATTGAAACAGACCATCTCTAAAATAAGCAACCATAAAGGAAATGACAGCAGTCACCGAGCGCTCTGCAAGTATGATTCCTAAAATGATTCTGTCGTCTGAAAGATGAGGGATTGATTTGGCCACAAAATTTTTTGAAGGAGAGGGAGAGAGAGATGTGCACGCTGTCATTCTATGAACACCGAAAACCAAAACGAAGAACTAACGTGATGAAAAAAGTGGATGACTGGAAGCATCTATTGATATGGATACTGAAGCAAGAACAGGAGCTGTTTAAGTTCCAAGCAGATTTTCTGGTGTTTAATATCACAAGTCAGAGTCACTTCAAATCCCAGTGCTGGGAAGTGAACAGTGCTGGGGACCAAACTCATTCACTCCGGAAAGACTCTGTAGCCCGGGTCCCACCCCAGGGCGCCAGGCCTTCTGTGTCTGGCTCTCACTGCTGTGGGCCAGGCAGCCCTCTCCTGCCTCAGGGTTGAGGACCTGAGCAGTCCCATCTTAATACTGACACTAGAGTGTAAGCTCCTTGAGGGCAAGGGCTGATCGCAGTCATTTCTGCATCCCCATAGCAGGGCAGGAAGGAGGAAAGCAAGCTTGCTCACAGACCCGCCCACTTGTTTCGGCCTTTGATTAGCATGGCCTTTCCATCCCTTCAGTCAGATTCTGAGTGTCTCCCTAGATCGCAGTTCTCGTACAAGTGGGCCACGCTGATTTATTTAGTAAAGAATTGCCATTGGAATAATTCTCAGAATGTAAATGCAAAGGCCAGGAAAGCCCATTCAAGCTAAGAAATGACTCTTTCAGGCCCATCCCATGGGGTTCTGGTCTTAGTTGGAAAAAGAGCCCTCTCTCTTGTCCAGGCATCTATCCTGATTGGCCATGGAGATATGATGATGACTCTTTGGGGCCTACCTCTGTCATGTGTGATGAAAATCATTTACATGTTTTCCAGGTCCTTTCTTACGGCCTGATATGGGGCAGGCTGTCAATTAATAGAAACAATGGGGAAGATATTGTGGCAGGAACACCTATCGTCCAAACCAGGCAGAAAGGACCAGGGCCTAGGGGTGGGAGGGACTATCTTTCCTGCCACGCGGTAATGAATTTCAATCACTGCTGGCTTGTGCCAGATTCAAATTGGCAACCCACGGAGATGAAACGCTTTCTATCCCATTACTCATGCCTGGAGGGATCTGTTTCCTGGAAGACTGGCTTCCCAGGTGAAAGGGAGGGGATGAACGGTCACTCTGAGGTGGTTTAAATCGGATAAAAGGTATGAGCGATGAGTGCCCAGCGAGAGAAATATGCAGACATGGAGGGGGAGCTAAGGGGCCATCTGAATCTCCATGCACTGGGGGAGGGGATACAAAACGTAAAGGTCAAAAGCCCAGAATTCATGTAGTAAGGAAACTGCTTAAGCTCACTTAGTTCAAGGCTGCAATACTATTTGCTCTGCTAAAGAAAAAAAAAAATCAGTGCGCTAAGGACTGTATAGAAAGTCCTAAAAAATTCCATTTGGCTCATTTCTTCTCTGATTATCAGCCTAAAACATTTAATCTACCTAAAATGTTAAGAAGAAAACTTTTAAATAATATAATGTAGTATTTTAACTTTTGAACATCTAGGCCCCATCACATGTGGATTATGCTCTTGATAATCCTTTCATCAAACTTTCAAGATTTCTGAAATTTTTACTAAATCTAAATCTTTACCAAAACCTTCTGAAGAATGAATACAAGTAGCAGTAAAAGTGCTTCTTAAAAATGCCAGACTTCACCAATACAATGAACAACGCAGCGCTACGTAACAGGTGCCCATCAGCTCAACCTGCGGGTAAGCGGTGGCCTTTCTGGACCAGGGATTTCAACAACCTGTCCTCTGCTCTGTCCTGAAATAAGCCGGGGCTCCGGGGTCACAGAACACTTACATGACCACAGAAAAGGTTGTTAAATGTGAGCAACGATTTCATTCATTCCGCCGGGGAAGTAACGACAGGACTGTTTTGAATGAAACACCATGTGTTCTCTGGCTATCTCCCACCGGAAGCTCCAGCTCACCTCAACGTTGTCAGACTGTCAGGCTCTGGAGGTTTGGAGGTGGGGCTGGGGGGCGAAGAGGCGCCTGGTGCTCAGAAGAACAGCGCTCTTGCTATCCAGGCAACAGCTCCGTACCCCGCCCTCCGGCCCAGCCCTGCCACTCCTGTCATCAGCGGACTGTTCTGGCCCAGTCACATGTTCTATCCATACCTGAAGGTGTCTGTCTCGGCAGTGGCTGCAGAAGGGTTGCGTCTCTCCTCCTCACCTGATCTGACACAGCAGCTGCATTATCTTAAATGCAGCCCCTTCATGACTGATACACGCTGTTTCAGTGGCAGGTACAGATGAAGCCACCCTCCCTGACCCCGAAGCTCTCTTTGTACCACACATGTGGTCTTAGCTCTCATTCCAAAAGACTTGTTTCCCAGGACCTCCACACACAGATCGGTCACCCGGTGATGCTCCCGGAGGTCCTCCGGATGGGCGTGCACTCCTCTCTCCAGCGTGGACAGAGCGTGAGCTTCCAGGCTGCGGCCCTGCTACCTGAGACACACCTTGGATCCTGGATGGAATGATGTGCCCGGGGATTGTGTCAAAATGATCCGGGAGGGCGGGGAAGTGGGTGGGGGTGTAGAAGATCCAAAATCGGCCCAGAGTTGAAAATTGTTAAGCGGGTTGCTGAGTACCTGGCCGTTTCAGTGCCATTCAACATGTGGTCTGAGACAGGTGCCCATCGCAAACTATCACTGGTCTGTGAAGATGTAAGTGTAGAGGCTGAGAGAAGCATCCAGAAGCTTTCATAGCAACTGAACAGAGCAGTTCTATGTCTGTTAAAGCTAGCGATAAAATAAGTAAGCTTGAATTTTTGTCTGTTTTTAAATCTCATTTTCCAAGGAACTCACTTGAAGAAATGAGCCAAATGGAACTCACTTTTCACAAAGCTATCAGACAACGCCTCTCAGCGCAGACAGAAGCCCCGCTTTATAGGCGGCCCCCTACTTCTGTACGCTTTACATTTCCTACGTACAGAGTTGGGAGGGGGAGGAATTGCTATTTGTGTTTAGTCTCTACTCCAATATAAATTTAGAACTTGTCAGAAAATAAATATAAATTTACGTTTTACAAATATACATGTCGATGTCGGACTGAAAGCAGCCTGGGTCACAGTGGGCAGCTGCCTCTGGGATGGGTCTTGGTGGGGGACCCCGCCAGGCACCCACAGTAAAGTGGGGGCAGGGCAGGGGCGCGCTCCTGCAGCGCTGGGGTTGTCGCGAGCTGCTTATTTTAGCACACCCAGCTCTGATGAGCAACCTCTTGGCTCAACGTTTGGAGAGTTTAAACTCTCCACTTTCCTTTTTCTCTCTCTCACATGAACAACTGTCAGCCCACTGAGGGATTTTTTGAAACTTAGTTAAGTGGAAGTGTATTATTCAAACACTACAAGCCTACGTGTAAGTCAGCTTGACAACACCATGCGCGTGGCTGTGTGTACATATACATGCCCGTGTGTACATATACACGCCCACTTCCGTTTAAAGCGAATTGGGTTTTATTTCTGTGCCTGTCTTGTTCTGGGCCGTTCATTCCACGGCCAAGCCTCCGAGCCACCCCAGAGCAGCGAATACATTCCTGTCAATCATCCTGGCTCCCAGCAGAGGAGCTCACAAACCCAGCTTAGGACTCAGACCCAAACATCTTAGGTGCAGCCCGCTCCATTTTCTCCCTTAGCCTTGTCCGAATTGTGAACGGCCACTTGTGCCTTGCAAGCAACACAGGATGGAAAGGGGGCTCTGCTTTTGCGCAAGGGGAAAGAAAACAGAGCTCAGCTGGGGGTCTGGCTCCAGGCCACCTGTCCTGAGACACAGCAGAGCCCGTGAGGGACCATGGGGTGAAGGGAGGAGGGAGGCTCCTGTCTTAGGCTTTACTGCGAAATGACCACCGGAGGGAAGGACTGCAGGGGAGCCTCTGCAGGGCACCCCGGGGAGGGCACGCGCGCCAGGCTGCCTGTAATTAAGAAGCAGCCTGCTCCCGAGAAGACGGTGCTGCCACCCCATCTGCCACGCCCGCCGGAGCTGGCACCGCGCCTCCTGCCTGCTGCCGCCGGGCTACCCACCGGTTCCTTGGAGACCTCCTTTGATGGAGCGTTGATGCCAAGCTTTTCCAGAGGATAGACAATCTGTCGTCGTGGTCGCACGGGAACCAAGTAATGAAGGGCGGACGTCAGGGAGTGGGCGTAGGAGCTCTGGAACTGCAAGACAGCAATCTCCACTTAGGGGAGGAAATGTCAGAGCCTCGCAGCACAGATGCCTGCGCGTGGCTTCCCAAACACACAGCCCCGCACGCGGCCAAATCGGAGGGGGAAAAACCCAGCAAATAAACAAACACGCTCGCCGAGCAGAGGAATGAATTGCGGATAATGCCTGACACTAATGAAGATAATTACGAGAGTAATTACATTACTCTCTCTGTGGGAATGACAGATAAACAAGTGGTTTGGTTGATGGGATTTTCAGTACAAGTATTTTCCCCAGGAGGATATTCTTCTCCACAGCGAACATGAATCAGCTTCATTTGACCCCATTAAGCTGTGTTATCTGCGTCCTGTTAACCTTTGCGTGTGTGGCTCGAGCTGCTGTAAGGAGGCACAGAGAGAAAAATGTCATCTGAGGGCAACCGGACGCAGATGTGAAAATCCTCCTGTTTGTGAGAGCACAGCCCCTTCCCTGGGCCTCTGGTGATAAAACCCGTGTTTTGAAATAAAATGATGAAACTGGGGGGTGCGGGCTAGGTGGGGGAATTGGAGCGTGTTATTTTGATTTAAATTAATACTAAAGTATGACTCAAATGTATGGTTACTGAAATGAACTATGATAAAGCGTGTTTCAGGAGAATGCTTTAAATATAAACTTTACTCAATTTTTAAAACTTGGCAGAGAAAACTGAACATGGTGATCTTTCTTCCTTTCACATCTATGAATTCTTAGGGATTTTGGTGAAATTAATTCAGCGTTTCAAGCATTTAAACCTCAAGAGTTTAAACTGTGAAACCCACATTTTTTTTATTGTCTAAAGTATTACATATGTCTCCCTTTTCCCTGATTGACACCCCCTCCCCAGCCATTCCCATCCCGGGCAAGTCCCCACCGCCCCAGTGTCTGTGTCCATTGGTTATGCTAAAATGCATGCATACAAGTCCTTTTGAAACCAACATTTTAAAAGATATATCGATTGTACTTCAGCTGGAAAATAAAGATAATAAACTTTTTTAATTATCTGAAGTTTTACATATGTCTCCCTTTTCCCTGATTGACACCCCCCTCCCTCCAGCCATTCCCACCCGGGCAAGCCCCCACCGCCCCAGTGTCTGTGTCCATTGGTTACGCTAAAATGCATGCATACAAGTCCTTTTGAAACCAACATTTTAAAAGATATATCGATTATACTTCAGCTGGAAAATAAAGATAATAAAACTAAACTGTAGGTGTAGTTTAATAAATAAGCAGGTTTACCTGTGACTTACTTGCTATTCTAAAACGCCCCCAGGCATTTCTAAGAGCTTCTAGCAGGGATTTCTAAAATCCTTCTCCATAGAATCTCACAGCCTGACTTTACCCACTGAACACAGACTCAGGAGCTCCCAGCCAGAGCTCTGTCCATGTCCAGGGAGATCTCTCAGTCCATGTCCGGGCAGGACGGGGTGGAGGAAACCATCTTCATAATGTTAGCCTGGACCTCATTCTCACTTCTGTCTCCTGGGGACTCATTTACAGCAGAATCTGAAAATCCTGACCTGAATTGTTTGGTACTACTTCCTACACTTGTTTAAATGTATATGTGTGAGTCGCCCGGAAGTACAGACTGAGGAAACCTGTTCCCAACTGTTTCTGCATCCCATATGAAACAGTGCATAGCATATTCCGAATCTATGTAAATACATGAGCATTCAATTGAATGTCCAAGATGCTGTTTGTATTATGGATGCAAAACAACTTTCTACCAGCTTGGCACCGGCATGCAACGTGATGAGTAAAAACTAAGAGTTTAATAGCACAACCTGAAGGTCACCAAATTGGCAACTGGCCGACAGCAAACTAAAAAGAAATTGTGCAGGACCAGGATCTTCCAGCAAAACTGTTACCTTCCCATCTCATTAAGCTCAAATCTAGGGCATCCACACTGATGCAGTGCTGCATTGTGACAAAAACAAACAAACAAAACAAAACAAATTACTAAAACATGTTCTTATCCCAATAAAACTCTTTTCCACATTTTTCCTACTTTCTTTCCCATTCCCTTTGTACTTCTCTAAAAGGCTTTTGTTATGTGACTGTACTAATACACTTTAGAGTGTTTTTAAGTTTAATGTATAAGACCATTTAAAAAATGCTTAGCTCACTTGTAGAAATACGGTAACATCAGAGCTTCTAGGCAGAGCGTGAGAAAGTTTTCGGTCATGAATGGGACCTGGGACAGTTTCTACCTAGTCTGGAGGTGGAATCTCATCACCTCTCAAGCTGAGGACCAGGGCTGCCAGTGATGGAGGAACAGCATGCAGGAAACACCACCTGGGAAATCCAGTTTGAAGAGGCCCTTCCCTGAGGAGCAACCAGGACACTGTAGTGAGTGTGTACGTACGTGTGTGTGTGCACGCGCGCGCACACATACACAGGGTGGGACAAAAGTAGGTTTATAGTTGTGAGTACGTGAAATACAGAGTTTATTCTTGTATTATTTTTTATTGTATGATCTTCCATAGGAACAACTGTAAACCGACTCTTGCCCCACCCTGTATGGGAGACTCAACTAGGCACTTTGAACAGACAGAGGAACATCTCTGCCTTCATGGAAAAAGATAACATGTTAGCTAGCGAAAAAGTGCCACGAAGAAGGCTAAAGCAGGATAAATGAGCGCAAGACGAAGAGCTTGCTCTCTGTGCATGCACACGGACATACTGTCTACACAGCAGGTATGTGTTCATTAGAAAAGCATCAGCTACGTAAGTGTAACAAGTAGGGTGCCGAGTTCTAAGGGTACTTGCTAGGGACAGGTTAAGTCAGCATCACGCATCTCCACCTTCTACCCATTCCTTTTATGCGGTGATTATAGTGCTTATTTGAATGCTGTGACCGCACATCAGTCTCACAGGATTGAGCCGACTCTTTCTATGGGTTCGTCACTCAAATGCTCTTTGCCTGAAGAACACGATGGGATCATTCTGGCTTTTCCCTGGTGCATCATAAGGAATGGTTTGATTTTCATGCCCTTGGAGCACTGCTGCATCGTTGTCAGTGTCTGTTTTGTCAACGTGGAAAAGCCAAGAAATTGTTCGACTAGTTATATTGGTTTTGATTGTTCCAGAAATTCAAACCCTGAACCTTCACTGTGGTGGAAGGGCCAAACTCAGTCTGGCCACTGGAATTCAGAGCCTCGCTATAATCCAAGTCTACTGAGCGAGGCCGGAACAGAAGACGGCACGCAGCACCAAGGGCACTGTGAGCGCTGACCCGCGGGAAACGCGAGTGACCACGCCTCTCACCTTGCCCTCCCGGGAAGCCGGGTAGATGGGGTAGTAGAGACAGGACTTGTGTCCCAGGCGGAAGATCTCCTTCAGGAAGAACTTGGTGTAGTGCCGGAAGATGGGGTTGATGGCGAAGTGGAACAGGTGCGCGTGCTCCTGGCGCTGGTGGTGGCTGAAGTAGATGAAGTCTTCGATGTTGTAATGAGACCGGATGTACTCTATATCCTGCGACGGGGCGAGGGCAGGACAGGTGAGCATGTGTTAAACAGACGGCATGCGTTTGGTGATAAATACATTTTAAAAAGTTGTCTAGGTACCACAGTAAGAAATATGTTTTTCTCCTCTGATTTACTACTTCATCCTCCTTGCTAATTTTTAAGAATTAAAAAATTCTGTCTCACGAAAGCCATTGTCCTGATGGCTTGTCTCTGAGGCTGCCTAGCTGTGGACTTGTTCCTCACAGAGAACATTGCGTCCCTGCTAGTGACCAGGTGGCGGGACGGCAGCTCTTCACCGCGGATGGGCAAAGGGGGCATGAGCTGGTCAGCACGACCGACCACGCATGTGCAGATGTCAGGAGCAGGACAACGCCCCACCAGCATCCGCTGGACTCGTTACTGTTCCCGTCACATGTTAATGTGGAAACGAGCCACCCCACAAGTCACACACTTTGATTGGCACATGTGGCTGGGTGGGCCTACGATAAAACTGTGAGGCTGGACCTCATCCATCGGCGTTCCTTAAACTTTTTATCTCTCTGTGATACAGTCACACGCCGCTTAACAACTGGGATACACTGTGAGAAATGCGTCGCTAAGTGGTCTTGTCATGCGAACATCATAAAGTGCAGGTACACAAAATGTAGATGATACACCTCTACCTACATAGGCTGTATGGTATAGCCTGTTGCTCCTAGGCCACGAACCTGTATTGCATTTGACTGTACAAAACAGCACAAGATTAAATCAAGCACAAGAGAAAATGATGGCATCAAGAGACTCAGTAAACCCGAGATGTCTAAGATGGCATACTGTTTTACAGCAGACTTTCTTTTATTTTTGTTAATCCTCCCCAGAGGATATTTTCCCACTGATTTTTAGAGAGAGGGCGGAAGGGCGGGGGAGAGGTAGAGAGAGAGAGAAAAGTCGATGTGAGAGAGATACAGCGAATGACTGCCTCCCGCATGCATCCGGACCAGGATATCCAGTCTGCAACGGAGGTACGTGGCCCTGGCGGGAAACAACAGTCTGCAGGCCAAACGCTCTATCCACCGAGCCAAACCCGCTAGGGCCAGGCTTTATTTTTTATAAGTAGAAAGAATACACTTTAAAGTAACAATGAAAAGTGTAGCACATATGTAACCCAGCAACATAGTTATTTATCACCATTACCAAGTGTTACGTCCTGCATGTAACTGCATGTGCTACACTTTTATATGACTGGTGGATTTGTTTACACCAGCATCGCCACAAAAACGTGAGTGAGCACTGCATTGGGCTATGACATTAGGACGGCCCTGACGGTGATAGGAATTTGTCAGCTCTATTATACCCTTATGGAACCACCGTCCTATATGCGGTCTGTCATGGACGTTGTTATGTGGCACATGACTGTATAATATATTTTTTTAATTTTTAAATTGATTTTTAGAGATAGAGGAAGGGAGAGAAAAAGAGAAACATCGATGTAAGAGAGAAACATTGATCAATTGTCTCCTGCACTCGCCCTGACCAGGGATCAAACCTGCAACCTGGGTATGTGCTTTGACCAGGAATCAAATCTGCCAGGTTTTAGTGCACAGGACGACACTCCAACCACCTGAGCCACCGGCCAGGGCCTGTATACCTTTTTACACTATGGAAGGTCATTTAAAGGACCGGTGAGTGTTCACTTGTGAAAGGAAATACCGCACACACAGCTCCTACTTCTTTGGGGCCGGGCAAAACCAGGGCACGTGACTCTCTCATGACAGCAGTGCACACACTGGATATGCAGGAAAAATCAAAGCGCGTGCAGACTGAAAAGCATCCAACTTATATTTCGTCTTACTTTTCACAGTAAAAATGTCCTAAAGGCACACTTTCAAGAAGAGGAGTTGGCCCGGATGGCATGGCTCAGTGATTGAGCATTGACTTATGAACCAGGAGGTCACAGTTCAATTCTCAGTCAGGGCACATGCCGGGGTTGCAGGTTTGATTCTCAGGTGGGGCGTGCAGGCGGTAGCCGAGCAATGATTCCCTCTCATCATTGATGTTTCTGTCTCTCTCTCCCTCTCCCTTCCTCTCTGAAATCAATAAAAAATTTCTTTTTAAAGAAGAAGAATTGAAAAATGCAAGGAACTTTATTTATGCTGTGATTGGCAAGGCTGACACTAGAAAATCCTGGAAAACTCTGAGGGTTGTGTCTAAGCTCCTCAAGGTTCCTTGTCTTTCCAGCACACACACACAAACACACACACACGCACATGCGAACGCACACACACAAACACGCGCACATGCACGCACATGCACACACATGCACAAACACACACAGACATGCGCACACGCACACGCATGAAACGGGGTTTGGGGTAACCAGGCCAGTGTGGTATCCAAGGGCAATTCTGGCAATGTCTGACCTTTCTGTCTGCATTGACCCCATACCTGCCTTTACACTTAACATGTTTTACTTAATTATCAAGGAGGCATCCCTCATTATAAAATAAAATGAGTAATAAGTGTAGGGCTGAGAAATCGGTAAAAAAACAAAAACAAAGAACCAATAGAGGTTATTAGCTCAAAACAGCAGATGGGCCATGTGCATCTAATTTTCTTCCCATCCCAAATCCCTTACACTTAAACAAAAAATTATTTCTAAAACAATGAGGGGGAGTGATGAAGAGACAAAAGAGTAAGGCAGTTTCACCTTAGAAGGAAACATACCGAAGTTCTCTACCACTAGGTGAACCCTTCCTACCTTGGTCCTTGCCTGCTGCCGCCAGTACCACCACCAAGCACCACAAGAGGAAGCCAGACGACTGATGCCCCTCCCAGTGAGACAGGGGGTGGGCAGGCCTCCAGTGACTGGAGAGAGGCAATGGAGACAACTGTCAAGCATACCCATGCCAGACAGCCATACTGGTAATCTGATCTGTCATTCATGACATGAACAGACTTTGGAGGAAAACTGACAAATGCAAAAGACCAGAATAGGGAAACATACAACTTACACTCCAGAGAAAACAGAGGTTATTTAGGGAACAGAAGAGAATTTAAAAAAAAAAAAAAGCTACTCAGTGTCCTCAGAGATACCACAAAGGATCTTGAATGTAACATAACAAACAAGCGGCTACAAAAAAGAAACAAGAGACTTGGAAGTTAAATATATGAACCCTGAAATTTGAATTCCAATAGGGGGCCTGGATAATAGAATAGACATGACTGAAGACTGAATTAGGGATCTAGAAGACAAATTAAAGAAATCTAGAAAAATGTACAAGAGATTAACAAATATGAGAAGAGAGTTAAAAGATAGTAAAGGATCAATGAAAAAAATCCAATATCCATCTAAAAAGGAATCCAAGAAGAGGAGAATAGAGAAAATGAAAGGGAAGAAACAGTTAATAAAACCATAGAAGAAAGATGTTCCCAAGTTCAAAAAAGGCATATGACACTTCTTGGTAAAATTTCACAAATTCAGGTATAAAAAAAAAAAACATAGAAGAAAACATACCAAAGAGAGAGAGAAAACAAACACATATACATTTATTTATATCAGTTACCTTGGACACTGAAAGACAATGAGAGTAAAAACATCAACATTCTGATGAGAAATAATTTGTGTAAGAATTCTATACACATCCTGGCTGGTGTTTCTCAGTGGTTAGAGTGTCGGCCCACACACCAAGGGTCACAGGTTGGATTCCCGGTCAAGGGCACATACCGTGTTTTCAGGTTCAATCCCCAACCCTGCTTGGGGCTTGTGCGGGAGGCAAACAATCAATGTGTCTCTCTCACATTGATGTTTTTCTCTCTCTCCCCCTCCTTCCCTCCCTCCAAGGCTCTCTATAATTCAATGGAAAAAAATATCCTCGGGTGAGGATTAACAACAACAAAAAGAATTCTATACACAAGCGAATAAATATTCAAGGGTGAGGACAAAATAAAAGTTTCTTGTATATGTATGTACTCAGAGACACTACCTACCACCCTCTCTAAAGGAATTACTCAAAGACATATTGAATCAAAAGAGAAATGAATCTAAGGATAAGGAAAGTTTGAATACATTAAAGGAATAAAGCCATATGAACATCTCCATAAATGCCAAAAACACATTTGATAAAATTCAACACTCACTCACAATAAAAACTTTCAGTAAGCTAGAAATGGGAGAGAGCTTCCTTGCCTTGATTAACATCTCCCAGTAACTATAGCAAATATTTCACTAAATGGGGGGAAATGCAGAATCATTCCCATTAAAATAAGAAACACCACAAAAGTACCCATTATAAACACTACTATGCAATGCTATTCTAAACATACAATAAAACTGGGGGGGAAAATAAGATGCAAACATTTTTAAAAGAAGGCGTGACGAATGCTGCGTTTCAAAGTTGGCCATGACGGTATCCCCCGTCCCTCACGCTATCTACAGAGAGAAGTTGTCACATCACGAGTTGGAGTCCATTTCTCCATCCCTGGAATCTGAGCCTGTCCTGGGACTGCTCTGACCAGTAGAATGATGGTAGAAGTTATGATGGGTCAGAAAAGAATCAGTGGAAAAGCTCTCAGAGCTAGTAAGAGCCTTCAAAAAGCTGGTTGAATACAAGAATACAAAATTAGTAGTTTTCCCACATATCAAAATAAACATTTTGAAAGTACATTGAAAACAGTGTGTCTATCCACAATACCCAGAAAAATAAAAAATAAAAAACATGTAGAAATAAATCATAAATGTCCAGGATTGTGTTGGAGAGGGTCCCAGCAGGAAACAGATGGTATGTTCAAATGAGCATAACTGGAGTTTAACAAAGGGACCATTTACAAGGAGGGGGCAGGATACAGAGAAACCAGTAGCGATGATGTAGCAGCAACTGCAAGCTATTACCACTCTCATGAGAGGTACTGGTTGCTGGAATCCCGTAAGAGTCATGGAGAAGAGGCTGCCTTGAAAAGATGAGGGAGTTCAGCAGAGAGACCAGCCCGAGGCAGCCCAATCTCACTTTCCTCCCTTCCTCTCCTCAGGGTTCACCATTGGTCAAACCTAACTGGAGCCAAAGGACAAAGCACCCATAATGCTGTCCATCAGGTTAGGCTTCCTAGGACAGAACAAGCTAGAGAAAGGCAGGGAGTGAACCTGCAGGGGTAAACAGAGTATCCAACACACACAGCCTGTATGAACAAAGCCACAAAAGTTTTCTGAAGGCCCTAGGTAGTCTGGCTCAGTGGCTGCTAGAGCAACAGCCTGTGGACTGAAGGGTCCCAGGTTTGATTCCAGTCAAGGGCACATGCCTGGGTTGCGGCCTCGATCCCCAGTCAGGAGCGTGAAGGAGGCAGCCGATCAGTGATTCTCTCTCATCATTGATGTTTCTTTCTTTCTCTCTCTCCCTTTCACTCTGAAATCAATAAAAAATATATATATTAAAAAGTTTTCCAAAGAACCCAAAAGAATTCAACCACCACCACAACAAAAATAGAGAAAGCTATGTTCCTACAAGAAGCACCTCAATATTTTATTTGTCAATTCTTCCCAAATTGTTCTATAAAATCTACATAAATATAAATAAATTCATAGTAAGTATTACAAGGTTTATCTGGAAGAGAAAATATCAAAGTAAAACCATTAAAATTTAGGAGAAAAGACAAATGAGAGAAGACTCCCCCACCAGAGAGCAAAGCACAGAATAATGCAATAGATACCAACAAATAAATCCATGGAACAGAATAGAGAGTAAAAATAGATGCAGGCACATGGAAACTTAATAATGTAAAGGCAGCATTTTAAATCAGTAGGGCAAGAATGGACTACCAAGTAGTAAGTACTTTGGAGTAATTGACTGTACACTTGGAAAACATAAATTCAGATGTCCACTTGACAAAACACACGCTCGCACGTACGCGCACTCACACACACACACACACACACACAGCATCTAAACAAGTGTGAGGAAAAATGTTGGGAGAGACAAATGCCTAACTCTCAACAGTAGTAATCCTTCAGGAAGAGCAGTGGGATTCTTTTCTGCTGGTGGTGGAAGATTATGTGAATTTTTAGAATGTGAATGTGTTCATGTACTCTTTGTAATATTTTAAACACTTTTGACCTGAAAAAATGAAAATTTAAGAGGCTGTCCAGTGGGAGGCGAGGAATAAGAGGCATTCATATTAAATAAGCAAAAATGAAACTTCAAAAGAGGTATTGTGTGCTACCTCATGAAATAAAGAGGCACAATCAAGGAAATTAATACCCAGTCCGCAATTTACCATTTCGTCTCTGATCACTGCAATGCCAACTACTTGTTTTGCCACATCAGCTACAAATGCCCGCAGTGGTGTTCCACCCTGAAAAGATGAACATATTTTTAAGACCCTTGAAAATATTGCCATCAATGTTTCTGAAGGCAGTCAATAGTAGATTTGAACCATGATCACACAATGGTCAGAACCACAACCTATCACCACTTACCTTTGGGCCATGTAGCAAGTTACATGGCCGCCCTGTGTTCATTTCATCTTCACTCAACCCTATATGTATTATCATTACTAGTACATCTACCTCATTTAGGATAAAAGAGGTTTGAGAGGCTGAGTAACTTGCCAAGCTCTCCCGCTAGTAAAGAATGACTCTACGATTCAAATGGCATTCCCTTGACTCAGAATCTTTCTTTAGCTCTACATCAGCGGTTCTCGAATATTGTGACCTCGGGACCCCTATGCCCTGAGGACCCCAGAGAGCTTTGGTTTATATGCATATGTCACTGTTTTCTGTATGAGTAATTAAAACTGAGACCATTTTGAATTTTTGTTTAACCTATTAATCGAAACAATTTTTTTAATTTGACAAAAATATTTATAGAACAAGAAGTAGCATTGTTTCATATTTTTGCAACTCTCTGACGTCTGGCTTAAAGGAAGACAGTTGGAATCTCATATCTGCTTCCGCATTCAATATGTTACAACATGTTATTTTGGTTGAAATACATGAAAAAAAATAACTATCTTCACAAGGATACATAGTTGGGAAAGGGAGAAGTATTTAAATAATCTTTGCAGATAATTATGGATATTCTTTTTTGATGCTCCACCCGAACTCAACAAGTCGTAGTGTTTTAAAGAGTAAAATCTTTAAATGTGGAATCTGAAACCATATCAATGAACTTTGTGTGTACTACTACCTTAACACTCATTGGTCCACTTTACACTTTGAATGATTCTTTTATATCTACTCGTGATTTTGTAGCATCATGTACTGTTTATCTAGAAAATACTGGTTCACACCAAGCTCATTCAGATTTTCCACATGTTGACCTATTTCATTACAAAATATCAAAACATCACATTTGGTATCATCTCCACCAGGCTTATCAGAAAAAGTCTGTTAAGTATTGGGAAGCTGTCAAAGTCACAATGGCAGATACTGATTTTTCAAAATTCAAATTTTTTCTTGAAAGCTTGAATTTTAACACAGGGGACAAGTGTCGTCAGTTGTTTTCTTGGAGTGACAAGCTCACCTTTTTTAAAAGAAAATGTTTGCCAACTACCTGAGACTGAATAACCGTATTGTGTCTGCTAATTGTTCCTTCAAGTACAAATGGTGTTCTGTGAAAATGCCGGCCAGGCCAGCATGCAACTCAGGCTATTGCAGAACTGCCTTTCCCTTGAAACAGCCAACAAACTTCAGTCTGCAGCCGAAGAGCTGTGTGAGCACTTCCCATTTCCCAAACAGAACACTAAAAATACATGCACGCAAGGATTAGGACTTAATAAAGTTAACGGTTTTTACTGTTTCAAGTGAAACTGACTTTCTCTGGGTGTTTTTTGGGGGAGTGGTTTTTTTTTTTTTAACTGAAATGTCTATTGAGATAGATGTATACTCACAAGCAGTTGTTTAAGAAAAATACAGAGAGATTCCTTTTACACTTTGCCCAGTATGCCCTACTGGGAACATTTTGCAAAATACTAGTATAATACAACAAGCAGGGAACACACACTGATGCGACTATGTGTATGTGTGTGTGTTAAGTTCTACCCAATTGTATCCCCTGTATAGGTTCATGCATGCACCACCACAGTCCTGGGGGCCACCAGTGAGGAGAACAGCCTCATGTCCTTAAACCTCATTTTCCTTGTCTTTCTCTTCTTGCTGCCATCTGCTAATACCACGTTGCTCCCCACCACACAATTCTCCCATGGAGGTCCAAGGAAATTTCAGGTTGACCCTCCATGGATCACAATGGTCCCATAACATGACGAAAAGGAAGCCAACCTGGTCATAGCAGGTACTTACAGGGTCTCTGTGAGCCTCAAAGTATTGCTTTAAATCGTCCAATATGTGTCTACTGAGTTTGAGGCTACTGACGAGATTTTGAACACCAGGAGAATCCAATAAATTGGCTAATCTTATCTTAATCGTCCTAGGTAAAGAGAAATACATTTTTTTAGGTTAAAGTACCAAACATGTATTCTCCCCCAAATGGACACAGAATTATAACATATTTATGTAAGACGACAGCAGTAAATTATCTTTATATGACATTGGGGTTTGATTAATTATAAAAGTAACTCTTTCACTGTAAGAAACCTGGAAAACACATGAACAAAAAAGTGCAAAGAATAAGGTGAAAATAACTGATAATGTCATTAACCAGAGACCACACAAAGTTACCCTTTAAATTCATAGAATTAAAAATGTTCAGCACCATGCTTTATTTCATATGTAATTCATACACAAAGCCAAATTCTTCTTCAAATTTTTTTAAGTATGTTAAGATATTAATAAATTACATTGAACCTGGGCTGGCTTCATGAGTCTTAATTGTTTTTTTTGTATTGTTTTGTTAATTCTCACCCAATGGTATTTTTTCCATTGATTTTTAGAGAGCATGAGAGGGAGAAATGATGAAGCCCTTGCTTGCTGGGTCTTGAAAATTCACCCACTTCACAAGAGTTTGTCTCACCCTAACCGGTTTGGCTCAGTGGATAGAGCGTCAGCCTGCGGACTCAAGGGTCCCAGGTTTGATTCTGGTCAAGGGCATGTACCTTGGTTGTGGGCACATCCCCAGTAGGGAGTGTGCAGGAGGCAGCTGATTAATGTTTCTCTCTCATCCATGTTTCTAACTCTCTATCCCTCTCCCTTCCTCTCTGTAAAAAAATCAATAAAAAATACCTTTAAAAAACTCCCACAAAAAAACAGTGTTAAAACCATATATAGAGAGAAACCAAGATGGCGGCATAGATAAACACCGGAGATTGCTGCCTCAAACAACCACTTCAAAAATACAACTAAAAGACGGAACGGACATCATCCAGAACCACAGGAAGGCTGGCTGAGTGGAAATTCTACAGCTAGAGGGAAAGAGAAAGGCATACCGAGACTCAGAGGAGGCGCAGTGTGGAGGTGAAATGCTAAGGTACAGAGGCGCACACGGAGCGGGCTGGCGGCTGAGGGCGCGGTTGTCGTTTTCAATTGGGAGGGAGTCTCAGGCTCTGAGCTCCACTTCCGGGCGAGTCTCTGGGGACCCAGAATCATACGGGAGAAGCGGGACTGTCTGGCATCTGTCGGAACTTGAGGGCAGCTTTCTCTTGGAGGGGCTTGCGGTGATTTCCGAGACACTGAGAAGCGGGGCCTCTGAGAGCAGCCATAACTGCTAGCCCCACCCTGTTGATCCTGTGGGACCTGCCCCGCCCAAGCCCTGCAGGGAGGGTTTTGCTGGATAGCCTAAGGCAGAGGCTAGATTAGCACCTCCCTAGAGATCCAGGAGCCAGTGTACCCAGAGGTTAGAGTGGGACCGTCCAGTTTGCAGCTCCGTGGAACCATGGGGGACACGCTCAGGGGGCAGACTCAGTGAGCACCAAAGTCCCACTGAAGCAAGTCTTGCCCCGGAGGGGTGTCTCCAGCACAGAAGTTCTCCCACTGCAGACACAGCTGATTCTCACAGCCAATTGGCCTGGAGGTCAATTCCTCCCAGTGATAACTACAACAATCAAGGCTTAATTACAACAAGACTGTGAACAAAGACCACAAGGGGGTGCATCAAGAGTGTCCTCCTCAGGTAATTGGGGAGGCTGAACCACTGGGCCCTAGAGGACACTTAGCACAGAAAACCACTGT